GTTGCCAGGGCGAACGATGTTTGCCAAGGCTGGTAGCGATTGGAAAAAAACAAAGGGCGGTCAAGCTTGAGGGTATGAAAACCCTAACCAGGAAACTAGGTCACATAGGTCCTGTTAGGCTCCTCGGCTGGAGACCTCGTGATGATGGTCACCGATGGTTAGAGACACTGAGTGATATGACTGGGTGTCGCAAACAGTGGCGCTCGTGCATTCACTCGTTATTCCCTTAACACACTATATGTATTCCCCATCTTCCGCTTGAATTTGCTTCGACATTCCCATCTTCATTTCGCTATTTTATCCAAATGGGCAACCAAAACCCGCGAGCGAAAGTGCATAGTTAATGGTTGTAAAACTGAAAACTGTCTTGTTCTCTAGAAAATTTCTGTCTTTCCAATGGTAATGAAATGCGATCGTGCCAGCTCAATAGGCTTCAGTTTTAATTTTTAGACACCAGTCGATTCAAAGGCACTTGATAACCTTCAATCGTATTGTGCATGGTGCTCCCGATTATCGCCGTCAGGTGCTTTCTGTGTTCTTGACTGTTCATCGTGTTTACTACTTGTGTATCGACAGCCGTCGCCATGTGATGTGGTTAGACCGAATGACAGCTTGACCTGATTTCCCAATATCAAGGAGTTAGACAAAGGTTGGGATATCTGAGCAGTAGCCCACTTATCACTACCCACCCCGCTCGATGCAATGGGCATCGCGGTCCTGATTACCCTGCGCGACGACCGATGCAGTATGAAGTTATTTTTTGTTTGTGTTCATTGGAGCTTTATGGACGAGTACTGCCAGGGTGTCTAGCCAATAAGCCTAAAATTGCCGTCAACGGTGCTTGAGTCCTTTACCAGAATAATGATTACTTGTTCTATGATAGAAAAATCATAAATGGACCAAATATCCAATATTTTGAAAAGCTTTCCAGTTTTGATTCACATTGAATTGAAAGGGAAGCTGTGTGGGTCACCATGTGCCATGTTCGTCCATTCAACGTCACACGTCAAACTCGATGCTAGTTAAACTTCTCACGTATTCAGTTCAATTGACAGTGAGTATTCTTCGGAGGTTATTGTGCTCGCTCTTCTGGTCTAGTTAGAATCTAAGTAGGCGGTTTGTTCAGAATTCGAAGTGACTTTTGATCACGGAGCTGTAATTTGCATTTCCTGTTCAGATTAGTCGTAGACTAAATAATGAAAAGATTGTATTGTAATGTATACTTTTTAAAATTACCTTCCAGCATTCACGTGGACTGACACATTATTATGGCAATCCACACAATAGTTCCGACAGAACTGCGACAGTTACGAGCCTGCCTTCTTTGTGGGCTTGTGAAAACCGTGAACCAATTTCAAATGAACGGTTGTGAAAACTGCGAAGAGTTCCTTAAAATGCAAGGTGATCGAGATAAGGTGTATGAATGTTCTTCAGCTAATTTCGACGGCTTATTGGCGATGATGTGTCCAAGCGAAAGCTGGGTGGCCCGATGGCAGATGATAGACAAATTAACCCCTGGAGTTTATGCGGCCAGTGTTTATGGCTCTCTCCCGAGAGAAGTTATTCACTATCTCCGAAGCAAGGGGATTCCATACAGGTCGTTGGACAAAAGCGAAAAATGAAACGAAAGCTACTCTCGTGAAACCTCATTTTCCATTGATCACCCGAACAGTTATTTTCTGAAAAAACCACTTAATTAATTGTCTTATCCTTTTCTGAATGTCGAGGGAGGAATCGATTGAACAGCAGCACATTTGCACCTTGTTCTAGGTGGCTTCTGCTACTGTTCTCGCAGTCAAGAGGCTTGTCATAAGTGATCATTGTATTTGCATAAATACACACAGGTATACACTAATTGCATAAGGAATAATGAAATCGAGAGGACGGTTGAATGATCTTCGGAACAGAAGCGGAAGATTTAGCGGCAACTTCTGGGTAATTCACAGATCCTCCTGAAGAAAAAACACGCATGAGTTAATTAATAAATTATGCCAATCAAACTTATTGAGAAAACAGTGAACAAAAATCCTCAGCGTCAGAACGCTGATTATTGATTTAAAATACAAAATTTCCGGGTTTATCATTTCGGGAAGGAATGAGAGACATGTAAACCTTTATTGTTTCCGCCAATCACCTACTACGGACTTCATAAGCAGTAGACACAAATCCTATTCGGATTCGTTTAGTTTCTGGATGATGTCACAGATACCTGAGTAAGATGCTGAAGCCTGACTTTTACTCCACTAAGGGCTTTGAGCGAACTCCACGGTCGATAACAGTTTTCGATTCTGAATACCGGCAAGACGTAAATTTCGCTAAGTAATGTGACTTTTGATTTAATTATGACCGCAACCTCTCCCCCCTCCAAGATTGCTGTGCCGTCATCTGTTGTGTACGTCCATTTTTTCAACGTCGTCAGTGATTTCATTTAGAGATGCAAACCTAACAGGACCGATGTCCAGAACTGCAGTGGGACAGTTAACATTATAGCAGAAGCTTAGACAGCTAGTCCGTTGAAGAAAGGAACTGAGAAATAAGCCAACGTCGGTTTCAGTAACTGCTTCAAGTTCTCTGGGTTGTGCTACCTACTGCGGGAGTAGAGTGAGTATAAATGGCGGGATTAGATTTCGAGTAGATCCAGAAGTTGCCAGGCCCGTTATCGAGTCGAATATTGTTCGTGGAAGGAAAGTACCCTAGGAGACTGATAAAAAAATCATATGTAGTCATGTGGAGAAAATGCCGATGTATGGCATCGAATCTGAGATGATAGTCGGTAAATTCACCAAAATCAAATAAAATGAAAAAGCACACTCACTCAAATAGTCGGTTTATTTGTTCCCTCTCCTCTTCTTGAGTGTTTGTAAACCGGGTGGCAGGAAAATCCGGGGTCAACTCAGGCCCTTCATCATGTGAGGCATACGCAGCGAGTGCTACAACGGAACACGGTTTGTTCCAATTCTGAGGTACAACCGGCTCGCCCTTTCGCATGTGTAAGGGCCAGAACTAATGCGAACGTGAGACAAAAACATGAGACGGAAGGCAAGTGAAATTTCAAAAGTATATTTCGGGTTTGAGAAGCGAGTGGATATACAACTCTGAAAGAGTACTTAAAAAAATTTCCTACATTACTGGCGAGTAGAAGACTGATTGATTTCCCGTATTTAGAAATTCTGTTTGCATGTCAGTGCAAGATGGTTTTTGACCCAAGGAAAGCGGTGACATTCGTGGGACTTTAGTCACTAGGTTAATGGTGTCTAGGTTGAACCCACTGATACAACGATTCGTATCAACACGCACATCTGAGCATGGTGGGCGATCCACCTTAATAAACCGCTCAAAAGAAGTGAATCAAAGCCAGATACGTTTATTCTCGTTTGAAACTTACTCGATCAAGAGCATAACACTCTGGGGGATGAACAACTAACCGAAACCTCCTACCTAACCAAGCAACTCGCTTTAAAAGCGCTTCTGTTTATCTATGGATAAATCAGTTCATCCCGATGGGCACCGTGCTAGGCCCAGTCGAGTAGGTAATGTTTGACGGCCCAAAGCACCAATCGTTCTGTGTGCTAACAGTGCTACCAGTGGGTTCTTTTGAGGTTACTATGCACTTGGAGCTGAAAAAGTAAACACTAGGTGCCTCGCACGCCGCTTAGCAGTACATTTGCGGCTGGGATGACATACAAAGGACAGTCATCCTAATTTTTTTATCACATACCGGTTGATCTCGTCTGTGAAGTACCAAAGAAAAGCGCCTTGCTCGGACTCACCTTTAAAGGTGTTCATATGACGACGTGCATCAAAAGTTCAAGGCGGCATTATGTCGAACGTTTCCCTGCCGCACAGCTCCCATCGACACCGTATACCCAAGGACTTCGTTTGGACAATCGAAAACAGAACCAGCCGGACAGTTCGGATTCAAGTGTCGTCTACCAGTTCACCTGCTGTTGTGGTGACACTAACATCTGCCCCTGCCACCACGGATATCTGAACAAGTTTCAAAGTTATTTTATCAATGTTACAAATAACTAATGTTATAGTTGTAGGCAATCCAAGAACGGAAACGACCGGTCGACAGTGGTTGAGTGGAATCAAAAGATAAATAGGGGGGAGGGTAGGAGAATGAACGGTGTTCTAAAGTAATTGAAGGAAGGGAACTGTTAGCACCGTGGATCTCCTTTAACG